CTTAATCCACTGTGTTTTGACAAACCTGGAGTTACTTTAAAAGCAGTTAAAGGCACAAAACTCCACAACAAGCCTGTGGGGGAAGGAATTCCATTTTTTAGGTAAGGGAGTTATGAAGGAGAAGCAGATAAACAAAAGCTGCTCTAAATTTTGCAGTGAGGATGAAATCATTTTTCCCACTGTCTTTAAAGATGGATACAGTTTTCCTCCACAGCACAGATACATACCCGGAAAAGTGAGACTGAGTCACAGGCTGAAAACAAGTTTCCCCTACTAAGTGCAGGAGCAAGAGGTTTAAGGTCCCTCCAAAGCTGAATTATCTCTGGATTTATATGGCACAAAGCAGCTAAAAGAGGTATATAGGATATGAATCTTCATAGGATCTTCAGAAAGTGCTTTGTTTAGAAGCCATAGTCCTACATTTTTTATAATGTATAGGCTCTAATGCTATTAGATTACAAAAATACTAAAATTGGTGAATGCTTTGAAAATATTGATGTATGTAGCATTAAACATTTCATTTATAGTCACAGAGAAGCTGTGGCTTTTCTGACATAACCAATACAACAGAATTTTGGGTGATAGAAGAACTTTATGCATATTTACAAATTTGGAAACTAAGAAAGCTCCAGCAAAACTCATATTGTGTGAATGCACTGAGGGAAAAATATATTTAAAGAGGGCTCAGTTCATAGGATGAACTGACAAGAAATATTTCCTGGAGAATGGGACACTTCTGTCATTTTTTCAACTCCTAAAGTCTTGTGCAATTAACAGTTCACTTTGCCCTACAGATGGTTTTCAAAGTAAAAATCCATATGGCATTTTTGTTATTCTTACCACACATGCACATATCTCCTCCACAGAGGTTGCTCTGAAGCGACGGGTCTAAAATTGAGTTGTCCTTTAGAAATAGGTGGGGTGATTTTTTAAAAATCCTGATACCCAGGCTACATCCCAGACAATTCAGAGTATTAAGGATGAAACTTTGGGCTCAGTTACTGATTTTATTTTTATCTTTAAAATGTTTACAGCTTTATCGAGGTATAATTGATATACAAAGAACTATACATATTTCATATGTACAATTTGATGACTTTAGACACATGCAAATTCTGGAATACCATCACCACAATCAAAGTAATAACCATATGCACCACCTTCCGGAATTTCCTTGTGTCCCTTTGGTTGTTTGTTTTGTTTTGTTTTTGTGATAAAAACACTTAACATGGGATGTGTCCTCTTACCAAATTTTGAATGCACAATATCATAAGAACTTACTCTTCCAGCATAACTGAAACTTTATGCCCATAGAATAACATCACCCTATTTCCCCCACTATCCAGCCTCTGCAACCACTGTTATAGTCTTTGCTTCAGTGAGTTTGACTGTTTTGAATATCTCTTAATTGGAATCAGGCAGTATTCATCCTACTGTGACTAAATAGTAAAATAAACTTAGGATAAAGTGCTTCAGGTTAATTCAGGTTGTCACAAGTAACAGGATTTACTTCTTTTTTAAGGCTGAATAATTATATGTATATAATATACCATATTTTCTTTAGCCATTCATCTGATGGACATTTGGGTTGTTTTCAGTTCTTGGCAATGAACATGAGAGTCCAGATTTCTCTTTGAGATCCTGATTTCAATTTTGGGGGGAATATACCCAAAAGTATATATTGCGATTGCTGGATCATATAGCAGTTCTATTTTTATTCTTTGGAGGAATCTTCATTCTATTTTTAATAGTTGCTATGTCATTTTACATTCCCACCAACAGTATTCTAATTTCTCTACAGCCTTTCCAAAACTTATCTTTAGTTTTTTTTAAATAGTCATCCTACCATCTAAAAGGAAATTAAGAAAACAGTTCCATTTGCAGTAGCATCAAGGATAAAATACTTAGAAATAATTTTTTTTATAAAAATAGAAAAACAATCCTAAAATTCATTTGGAACCATGAAATAACCAGAAGAGCTAAAACAATCTTGAGAAAAAAGTAAAAGTGGAAGGAATCACATACTCTGGTTCCAAAATATATTATAAATCTGCAGTAATTAAAATGGTATGGTATTGACATAAAGATAAACACAGGCCAGTAGAACAGAATAGAGAGCCAGGGAATAAACCCAAGTATGCACAGTTAGCTGATTTTTGACAAAGAAGAGAGAGACATAGTCTCTTCAACAAATGGTATTAGGAAAACTGTATATACACATGCAAAAGAATGAATAAATTCTTATGTCTGGATACATCTCAACTAATTCACCTTTTAATTGCAAGCTACTGTTTTATTGTATCACTTTTTAATTTCTTGGGTTTTACATTTCACTGAGAAGGCAAAGAAGATGTATTCTAATATTGTTTCATAGTATAATATTTTAAAACTATGGTTTACATTTGCATCCTGAATTCAGTGGTTTCCTGCTTACAGAATTCTAACCTTCATGTCTGATTACTTCTGTTTTCTCTTCCTTGAATGATTAAAGTCCATACAGATTTGGCGCTTATCACAGATAGCTTCAATAACTTTCAATTTGTCTCTTTCATCAATTAGTAATTGTTAGAACTCTCCTCTCATTTTTTAAGCCATTAATTAAATATTTGGTGTCTATCTGATAATTGTTTTCCTGAACCCATTTACTGAATTCATTCTCTAGTCTGCATATATAGCTATGAATTAATTCCTACATACTTAGAAGTAATGTGTAGTTTGTCCCGTGTCCAAAACAGTGCCCACCATCTACAGATTTACAAGTTCCATGCATACAGTGGTCTTTTTGCTCTGAGCCTTTCAATTACCATCCTTATGTTCCAAGGTACCACACACCACCACGTTCACTGCCATGCCAGCGACATTAGATATGCAGAATTGTTGTCCCAGAATTGAGACAGAAAAAGACTCTGCTTCATAAGGGTACTATTGTAGTTGTTTGGGCAACAGCAAATCAAATATGCCTGTGGTGAAATTACAAAGGATAGAAGAGCAAGGAGTCAATGTTCCATTCCCCTTGAACAGCTCAGTGTGAACACAGCTCTGCTTCACCACAGACTGCTGGCTGCTCAGCTCAAGCTCACAACACGCAGGGATGGGGCTTAGAGCAGCAGGCACATAGCATGGGGAATGGTGTGGCAGAGGCCACGGTGTGCTGCTGGAAAGGGAAGCAGCTAGAAAGTGCAGGATCCTCAGCAGGTGCCTGACAGGTCAGACCATCCAGCATCCACTAGGATCAGACTTGCTTATGAACTCACAGGAGATACTTCCAGAAATAACTAATGGGTTGTAATTTTACAAAACCAGATTACATCAGGGTTGGAGGCATTTAAAGTTACCACCATCAGTGACTCCATTGGTCTCCACCGGCTGGTCAAAGAAGGTGAAGCTCAATGACAGTAAATAAATAAATGAAGAGAGCAAGCATCTAGGTGTCCCTATTTGGTAGGCCTAATTTTTAAAATTGTTTTAAGAGGGCCCTCTTCTAATTCATCTTGAGTAATATGAGCAGTGACCAAAAAAAAAATGTCTAGTCATATAAGGAGAGTAAAAAACAACAGTGATGTTAGTGGAAGGTGAACCATTTCCAAGGATACATAAAGCCTATGCTCAAGGCATTGGAACTGGTATAACAGCAGCTAAAAATGCCACACCTTGGTTGAGGGTCACAATGGAGAGCGTGCAGTGATTTCCCTGAGTCCAGGAATTCAACGGGCAGTTATGAAAGTGGCCTGCATTGGATGAGGATAGTTGAAGGTCTAGAGTTTCAGCAATTTTGTAGGTGGTATCTCAGAGTAAAGACTTTTCTGTATTATTTTAAGTAATTGTACCCACACTTCGGTTGTAGCATCTTCCCCCCCAGCTACTATGACAGGTGAGGAAACAGGATTTCTGATGTTCACATTGTTACGGCATTTAATTAGCGATATAGAAATATTACCCTAGACATGAATGGACAGGAAAGAATTAATCCTTCCTGCAGTTCAGATGTTTGGTTAAAAGAGTGAATGTATCATTTAAAATAGATGGAGAAATAAACTAGATACCTAGGTCAGATAAAGAGGAAATAAATATGGTTATGAAATAGGTATGCGTTTTATGGAAATAATCAAATCATCTCAGGAGCAGGAAGTCACATTCAAACATCTCCCTGCATCCAGGCCTGATAACAAACCAGCAAGCAAAGGATAAAGAAATCCTGCAGATAGGAAAACGGCAGTCAACAATGAACCAGGGGAAACGTGCCTCCAGGGTATTTTCTTGTGTGAGACAGTGGTAGGACCTGCAGACTGTTCCCTGCCTGGGAATTGTTGCAGAGATGCTGAGCCCAAGATACTTTGGATAGAAGGGTGATGCCTATCCAGCTCACGTGGCCTCTTCATAATCACCCATGAGCTCGAGTCCTTGGGAACAATTGTGCAGAACAGGTTAATTGCCACAGTGCTGGGCGGAGAGTGGGTGTAGGTCAAATGGCTGTCAGCTGTGGGTGTGATTCTCACCAGCCTGGACTTCTGCCATTGATGCTGTACAATTTTTGCTCCTATTTCAACCCTATGTATTTGGTGCTTATCAATGATGTGGGAACTTACTAAAACTCTTACTTGATGGTTAACCAGTTAGTTTACTGCCTCTTACTGTGTCAGTCTCTTCTTTCACCCATCTTCTCTTTTCTGGCTCAGGTAAAGAATTTTGAGGTTGATTCCCTGGCCATTGCTGGCTTTTCTGTTGATTTCTTGTGTGTGAATCATCCCTTTAGCTATTAGGAATCACATCGTAGTTCAGTTCATCATTACAGGGTATTTCTCTACAAACAGGACTGTGATTGAACGACTGAAGATATTCCAGCCGGTTTTGCTATGTATCAACAAATGACTGCAATGGCCACTCTTTCCTTCCATTCCTGGCCTTCACTGTCTCGCACTTGGCCTCACTCTCCCAATGCTTGCAGTAAATGCCACCCCACAATGCTGGCCACTGCACCTCCGGCATGAGAGCTCAGTCCCCTGCCCTGATGTCTCACACCATCTTCCTCAGCTTCTTCCCCTCTTGCTTCCTGACCCTCCTCATCTCTGTTATAAGCATCCCATTTGATGAGAAGTCCTGGTTCTGTGCCTGGGAAGCTGTCATCTGTGCTAGAGTCTATATTGTTCCACTTCACTAATGTTGAGTGGCCCTACATTGATTAGGGCTTTAAAGGTAAGGTGCTGGGCCTAGAGGCTGACTGAGCACAGGGGCACGACCCCTGGGCACCTGGGACTTTGCAGTGACACAACTAATACCAGTAAGCAGCAGTACTCTGCACAGTACCCTGTGTGATAGTTCATCAAGTTTATCTTTCCAAAAAGACATTGATTTCAAATATCAAATAAAAAAATATTAATTTCACCTATCTTTTCTATTGTTTTTCTGGTCTCTGTTTCATTTCTTTCCACTCTGACCTTCCTTATTTCCTTTCTTCTGCTTCCTTTGGGCTTAGCATATTCTTCTTTTCCTAGTTCCTTGAGATATAAAATTAGGCTGTTTTTTTGAGATCTTTCGTATGTCTTAACATATTAATGTATTACTACAAACTTTCCTCTGTGGACTGTTATTACAGTGTCCCATAGGTTTTGGTATATTTTCCATTTTCATTTGTTTTGAGATTTTTAAATATCTCTTTTGATTTTTTCTTTGACCCATTGGTTGGTCAGGCTTGTGCTGTTTAGTGTTCACAAGCTTGTAAATTTTCCAAGTGTCCTCTTGTAGCAGGTTTCTAATTTCATACCATTGTGATAAGAAAAGATACCTGGTATGATTTCAACCTTATTCAATTTGCTAACACTTGGTTTGTGGTGTATCATATGATCTATCCTGGAGGATGTTCGCTGTGCACTTGAGAAGACTGTATATTCTGCTGCTATTGAATGGAATGTTCTACATGTTAGGTTCATTGGATCAAAATTATTGTTCAAGTCCAACATTTCCTTATAAATTTTCTCTCTGAAAATTTTCTGTCCATTGTTAAAAGTAAAGTGTTGAAGCACCTTTTATTATTGTTTTGTGTATTTCTCCCTTCAGATCTACTGTATTTGCTTACTATATTTAAGGGCTCCAAAGTTGGGTATGCATATGTTATATCTTCTTGTTGAGTCAATGCCTTTATCATCATATAATAAACTTTATTGTCTTTTCTTACTATTTGTCTCTTATTACTCTACTTCCCTTTTATGTTTTTAATATCATAATTTGCCCCTTTTTATATAGTGTATTCATTAACAAATGATAGGAGCTATCATTGTTTTTAATACTCTTGTCTTTTAACCTTTTATGTGGTTAACACACCATCAATTACAGAATTAGACTTTTCTGCAACTGACTATATATTTACCTTTACCAGTGTGTTACATGTTTTCATATGTTTTCATGGTGCTAATTAACATCCTTTCTTTTTTTGCTTAAAGAACTCCTTTTATCATTTCCCGTAAGGCAGGTCTAGTGGCAATGAACTCAGCTTTTGTTTGGGGAAGTCTTTATGACCTTCATTTCTGAAGAATAACTTTCTGGATAGAGTATACTTGGCTAGCAACCTTTTCTTTTCCAGCACTTGAATGTATCTTCTCACTCTCTTGAGGCCTGCAACGTCACTGCTGAGATATCTGCTGATAGCCTGGTGGGGGATCCTTTGCAGGTTACAATCGTTACTCTATTTCTGCTTTCAAGATTTGCTCATTAATTTTTGAGAGTTTCATTGTAATGTATATGGAAAAGATAATTTTGAATTGAAATAATGGAGTGACCCATGAGTTTTAGGAACTGAATATCAAAATCTCTCTCCAGATTTGGGAAGTTCTTGGCCATTATTTCTTTAAATAAGTTCTCTGCCCAATTCTCCCTTTTTTCTCCTTCAGTTCAAATGATATTTGTTCTTTTGATGATGTCTCAAACATCACTTGGAATTTCTTCACTCTTTCATTTTTTTTTCCTTTTATCCCCCTCCGCAACCACTTCCTGGGTTACTTCAATGTTCCTGTCCTCAAACTCACGAGTTCTGTCTTCTAATCTTTTGTTGATGCTCTCTATTGCACTTTCTCATTTCATTCATTGAATTCTTTAGCCCCAGAATTTCTGTTTGGTTCTCTATCTCT